GACGCTGGGCCAATTGTGCGCCGCCCCATGGGTCTCCCGGTCGCGGCCGGCTACGACAGAGCCTGGATCTGAACCAGGATCTCTAGTGGCACTAGACCACTGCGCCACTCGGGAGACTCATATGCATATACTGTATTCTATACTATCTATTGCATCTTAGCCTATGCCGCTCTGACAATGACATTACTCATCCATATATTTATATATTCTTATTCCATTCCTTTACTTAGATTTGTGTGTATTAGGTATTTGTTGTGGAACTGTTAGATATTACTTGCCAGATATTGCTGCACTGTCGGAACTAGAAGCACAAGCATTTCGCTACACTCGCAATAACATCTGCTAACCATGTGTATGTGACCAATACGTTTGATTTGATTTGATTCAGCTGATCAACTGCCTGTTATGAAAACAGAAAAGCATAATTAGCACAATAACATGAGTTTAATATTAGTTAAAATTTGAACACTATATTTGAATACTAGCAAATACAACAAAGAAAACATTTATTGTAGCTACTGCTAGCCTAGCTTTTTAACGTTAACGTTAGCCCTATAATTTTTGTTAGCAAAAACAAACTTGCTTGCAAGCTATCTAGCTAGCTAACTAGTCAAAACGTCTAGCTAACCTGCAATTTATGTAAAGATTCCCAGTTTATTACAGTTAAATATGTGTGTAGCTAGCTAGTTAGTAACTTTGAATGTTAAAATGTGTTTTTTCTGTTGGTTGTTACACAGCAATATAGCTAGCTAGCTATGTTCTATAGCAGGCTAGCGTAGCTAACTTAGCTAGCTAGCCAGCTAACTCTGGTAGCTATGGGAGCAGTGCCTGTGTTCTCTAGATAGACATTAATAATATACCTGGACATGGAGTGTTGTAGTACCCTTTCTATGTCCTAATTTTACATGTCTCCTTGTAACAAAAGTGTTCATAGCAACAGGTTTTTCAAAATGCCCCAGCTTTTTTTTTCTCAGGCAGATGGACGCCTATTTAGTGTGTTACTGCCACCACTGGTTCTTCTTCTTCATCTTTTTCGATGGGGTTTAACGGCGGTTGGCATCTAATGTTAATGGTGCATTACCGCTACCAGCTGGACGGGGTAATGAATAATAAAAAATAAAAACGGGGGAAACGACATCATACAAAATAAAACACAGAAACTAAGAAATCCCATCACACTTCTTCAATCACAGTCCACTCCAAAATACATCCCTACACAGGCTCAGGGGCCTGTGATGGGGGTACATTCACCGACAGGATTTCTTGCACCACCTCGGCTGTGAAATCACGAAGACCCAAAAAACGTTCAGCGGCATTCACAATTTAAAATTGTCTTTGACTTTTTCTCCGCTTGTGCTGTACAGTTTATGACCATTGCAATAAATACAGTCCCACCTTTTTAACATGTAGCATTTCACTATCCCTTGGTTGATGAGCAACCTTCCCTGGTCGTGGTGGCTCTACTACCATTGCTTCTTACACGCCACTCGTTCAATTTTCTAACCGCCTCCAGATAGGAGACACGCTGGACACTCCTTACCCTTGCCACCTCATTCTCCTTCACCCTAACAGGGCACTCCAAGAATTCAGGCGCATATTCACCTCCCCAGTTGCAGCATTTCCCTTGATCTGGCATACGATATTCTTCCCTTCTGCACACACTTGACACGTGCCCTGCTACGAAAATCCATACAGGAAACATTCCACTCCGATATCTTTTTGAGTCTTAGAACACGCTTCTTCTGCTCCGCAGACACACAAAAAATCAAAATAAGACCACTTCTTGTGACTCTCACCGACTCCACACTTTCCTCCAACACATTCCAGATTTTCCTGGAGACGTTAAACGGATTTCCCAAGTAGCATTGATCCAAAACCCTCACTCCGACTAAAAATGAGTCTATTGGTTTCCTATTTTCCACCACAGCTTTACTTCTCTTGTTTCCCTTTTTCTTCGCCATGGTAACCCACTCATTCTCACTTTATGTACTATTATCTTCACTCGACTCACTAGCAGTTTCAAACAAAACCTCAGTTTCCGTCATCTTCCATCCTACCCCGCTCCTGAGGCGGGGGTCAGTCAATCTTCTACCTCTGCCTAGTCACCACCACTGGTTGGAGTGCACACTGCACTCTTAACCCAAACAAAAGATTGTGACCAAAACTAACCACAGATGGTAATGACCTAACATAAAACATCAGAGCCATATATTAAGAAAACTCTCTATCCATATTTGACCAAACCTGATAGTAATTAGTCAATCTTCGGGATTTTGGCAATCAGGCCCTTTATCTACTTCCCCGGAGTCAGAAGAACTCGTAGATACCATTTTTATGTCACTGTGTCCAGTAGAAAGGAAGTTAGAGGTAGTTTCGTGAGCCAATGCTAACTAGCATTAGCGCAATGACTGGAAGTCTATGGGTACTACTAGCATGCATTCACTTGCTAGACTGTACACTGGGTATACCAAACATTAGGACACCTTAATATTGAGTTGCAATCCCCCCTCCCCCCCTTTGGGTGGTGGACCATTCTTGATACACACAGCAAACTGTTGAGTGTGAAAAACCCAGCGATTGTATTTTGACATTTGCAAAAGGCACATTGACAACCGCAACCAACCATAGAAATATGGGCCCCGTGTAGCTCAGTTGGTAGAGCATGGCACTTGCAACGCCAGGGTTGTGGGTTCGATTCCCACGGGGGGCCAGTATGAAAAAAACAAAAATACTTGTATGCACTCACTAACTGTAAGTCGCTCTGGATAAGATCTCGCGATACATGGCCCCATCCATCCTCCCCTCAATACGGTGCAGTCGTCCTGTCCCCTTTGCAGAAAAGCATCCCCAAAGAAAAGTTAGTAGCGTTTAGTATTAGGCATTCTCCAAGATTGAAGAAGCAACAAGACCTCACTATCCCAGCAGTAGCAGCTCCCCCTAGTGGCAGTAATCATATATATTACATTCAATGCAAATACCTTGGAGGCCTAGAAAATGATACAAGGGATGGCTCCATAAAATAATAAACTAAACAAAACATTAAAAATGTGACCATACATATTTGTGTGCGTCACATGAGCACTTCTGGTGTGGAGGGAGAGTAAATAGCCTTCAAACGTTTTATTAAGCTCGAATTCCATCTCAGTGCATTCTTTATCCAGATAGCTTGCAAATGTTTTTCTATCTGGTGGCCCTTCGTTGCCTGTCATCTGTATTTTGCTAAGTCTGTCTGAAAGAGGGGGATTCTACTGTGGATAAGGGCAACATTTCCTCGACTACATACCCCATACCCAGCTACAAGCTTGTTCAGCTCTCCCTGGATGTGACGACCACACAGTAAAAACCGCACATTTGTTATTGTCGTTTCTCTATGTTGAGTCGATGCAGCATAGTTTTTGTTGTAACAGTCATTGGTGTCATCTACCGTTATCATAACTCATATCCTTATCTACAAACAGTCAAAGTTCTAGGTAATGTCTTCGGGTTTACTTCAGTGTGTCCGCAGTTACCGGCCCAATGTCTGCAGCATGGAAGCCAACTGTGTTCTGGTAAAGGAGATCCGACCAGAATTCCGTTGTTTAAAGCAGGGTTTCCCAAATTCGGTCTTGGGGCCTGCCCTGGGTGCACGTTTTGGTTTTTACCCTAGCACTACATAGCTGATTCAAATAACCAACTCATCATCAAGCTTTGATTATTTGAATCAGCTGTGTAGTGCTACGGCAAAAAACAAAATGTGCACCCAGAGGGGACTGAGTTTGGGAAACCCTGGTTTAAAGTATCATTCCGAAGGGGCGTTGGAAAGTGCCACCCCTCTGTTCACTGCGAGGGGACACATTTTTCTTTCACGTTTTGAAATAGCAAAGTATCCTTCAGACATTGATACTGTGTACTGTTAAAATCTGATCAGTACCCTGAAACTTTATATAATGTGTATTGAAAATGAATGTTTTGCAAAACTCTACTTCTTCCTGAGAATGGAACTGGCCACTCCCAATATATTCTCAATGTGAAGCTCCCTCTTGTCAGTTTTGATTTATGATTTGATTTATGAGTTGATTTACTGTATGTTACGTTCTGTTCTGCAGTTTTTTACTTCAGTATTTTTTGTTGTTGTTGAAGCTTTAGGACTGTTTTTCCATTTCAATTCAGTTTATATGTCTATTTTAACATACTTTTTGGTTTATCTCCTGCTGTCCTAATTTTTTGCAAATTGGAGGAATAAAGCCCTAATATTTGCATCCTATCTCAGTGTCTCTTGTTGCCTACTTGGTCAACCATGACCTGGGTTACAGCCTGTCCTCCCGACTGATTAAAATCAAGCCTGGGTTGTTTGGATGAAGTGGGCTTACAGTCATCTTCAGTAGCAGTGGTCAGGTCTCAGGTGTCTTTTGCTACAAGTTTTGTCTTGGCTTGTTTCTTTTGCTGGTACTTCAAGAGATTGGAAGTTGTGTTTCTAGCAGTGGAGAGGTGTTTCTGGGAAGTAATGGGAGTACTTCCACGCTGAGAAACTCAATGTTTTAGCCATTTTTAATTTCCCTCACTAAAAAAGTTAGTAGTGTGTGCATGCGTAAACAGGAACTGTTTCGCATGACGAAAACAATTTGAATCTGGGGTGGGGGGATTTTTTATACTGCGCCAACAGAGAGGGAATAATTATCATCATGAATATATATTTGCATCAATAACTTGAATAGGAAGGGAATGATAACAAAAGTAATGAAGTAACTTTGATCAGTAACTGTAATAGTATTACTCAAATTGGAATAGTACTCCATTATATTACTAGTTACTGCAAAAAGTTATATTATTACTGTAACGTGTTACCCCCAACACTGTTGCTAATCATCATTAGTTTTGGTTATTGATGACTCATTTGCCTTTGGATCATGAAATATGTTTGTAAAACTATATGGGCACATTTACACACATTGCATTCAGTATTTTCACAACACATCTTTATATTTACATTTCTTGCTAAATTGTTTTATTTTTTTGCAATCTTAAGAGGTGAACCTGCAAGTAAGCATTTAATTGTACTTTGTACACCATGTGTATCCTGTGCATACGACAAATACATGTTGATTTGATTTACATCATTTTGTTCGAAATCTGTCTTTACCAACATCTCTGTATCCTTGTTCGCAAACATAGCAAAATATTCAATCAACTGAACGTGCCCCTAAGCTAAGTTCAGAACGACTCAATTATAATTGAACCAATCATGGCATTACACTGGATAGGATAGAATAGTATAATTTAATATCCCATATGGAAATTGTCTTTGCAACAAAGGACAGGCATACTTGGCGTACAGATAACATACATCACAAGACATAATGACCAAACAGACATACAGTGGGGAAAAAAAGTATTTAGTCAGCCACCAATTGTGCAAGTTCTCCCACTTAAAAAGATGAGAGAGGCCTGTAATTTTCATCATAGGTACACGTCAACTATGACAGACAAAATGAGAAAAGAAAATCCAGAAAATCAAATTGTAGGATTTTTTATGAATTTATTTGCAAATTATGGTGGAAAATAAGTATTTGGTCAATAACAAAAGTTTCTCAATACTTCGTTATATACCCTTTGTTGGCAATGACACAGGTCAAACGTTTTCTGTAAGTCTTCACAAGGTTTTCACACACTGTTGCTGGTATTTTGGCCCATTCCTCCATGCAGATCTCCTCTAGAGCAGTGATGTTTTGGGGCTGTCGCTGGGCAACACAGACTTTCAACTCCCTCCAAAGATTTTCTATGGGGTTGAGATCTGGAGACTGGCTAGGCCACTCCAGGACCTTGAAATGCTTCTTACGAAGCCACTCCTTCGTTGCCCGGGCGGTGTGTTTGGGATCATTGTCATGCTGAAAGACCCAGCCACGTTTCATCTTCAATGCCCTTGCTGATGGAAAGAGGTTTTCACTCAAAATCTCACGATAAATGGCCCCATTCATTCTTTCCTTTACACGGATCAGTCGTCCTTGTCCCTTTGCAGAAAAACAGCCCCAAAGCATGATGTTTCCACCCCCATGCTTCACAGTAGGTATGGTGTTCTTTGGATGCAACTCAGCATTCTTTGTCCTCCAAACACGGCGAGTTGAGTTTTTACCAAAAGGTTCTATTTTGGTTTCATCTGACCATATGACATTCTCCCAATCCTCTTCTGGATCATCCAAATGCACTCTAGCAAATGTCAGACGGGCCTGGACATGTACTGGCTTAAGCAGGGGGACACGTCTGGCACTGCAGGATTTGAGTCCCTGGCGGCAAAGTGTGTTACTGATGGTAGGCTTTGTTACTTTGGTCCCAGCTCTCTGCAGGTCATTCACTATGTCCCCCCGTGTGGTTCTGGAATTTTTGCGATTATTTTGACAACACGGGGTGAGATCTTGTGTGGAGCCCCAGATCGAGGGAGATTATCAGTGGTCTCTTATGTCTTCCATTTCCTAATAATTGCTCCCACAGTTGATTTCTTCAAACCAAGCTGCTTACCTATTGCAGATTCAGTCTTCCCAGCCTGGTGCAGGTCTACAATTTTGTTTCTGGTGTCCTTTGACAGCTCTTTGGTCTTGGCCATAGTGGAGTTTGGAGTGTGACTGTTTGAGGTTGTGGACAGGTGTTTTTTATACTGATAACAAGTTCAAACAGGTGCCATTAATACAGGTAACGAGTGGAGGACAGAGGAGCCTCTTAAAGAAGAAGGTACAGGTCTGTGAGAGCCAGAAATCTTGCTTGTTTGTAGGTGACCAAATACTTATTTTCCACCATAATTTGCAAATAAATTCATAAAAAATCCTACAATGTGATTTTCTGGAATTTTTTTCCTCAATTTTTCTGTCATAGTTGACGTGTACCTATGATGAAAATTACAGGCCTCTCTCATCTTTTTAAGTGGGAGAACTTGCACAATTGGTGGCTGACTAAATACTTTTTTTCCCCACTGTACGTAAATACACTGTAAATGTCTTATAATTCCTCAGAGCACTGAAATCATCACAACTCATGAACCCTGCTTGCTGTGTGTCATTTTATCTATTTCATTTCATTTTCAACAAATCATTGTAATCATTGTAGTTAACAGAGAAAAAAACATTGAAAAAATAAAACACTAACATACAGAAACAGAAAATAACAACAAACCAAAAACAGACAGTATGATTAGCCAATAAGATGCTTGTTTTGTCACAGTTCTGCTCCGGTCACAGTCTCTGCCAGTATGGTGAGGCATCTTGGGTAAGTGGGTGGGAGTTGGTCCAGCAACCTTACATTTCATCCAATCCACTGCTGTGGATTTTGGAGTGATACTTCCCTGGTCCAATCCCCCTCTCTTTAGCACCCAGTAGGAGGTGTCCTTGAAAAAATAAGCATCTCCTGAGGGGCATAGGGAAGAGATTGATTGTGGTATGGTTTGTGTAGTTGAAGGAGAGATGTGGTCAACTAAACACATTGGGAGATTCTCAATTGGTTTGCTCGACTCCTCGCTTCCTCTCCTCCGTCCTCTCCTCGCCTCCTTTTGAAAAAGATCAAAGGTAATCGAGGAGCGGCGGCGAAGAGAGGAAACGTTGAAAGAAATGCGCTTGTATGAAATTAGACTCTCCTTCTCCACTCGCACGTCATCAGGCAAATTCACAGGGGTGAAATCCCAAAATAAATGTGTAAAGTGATAAAAGGTTATATAAGTAGCATATTGTTTTTAAATGTGTGCATGCTTTTCTCCTTTGAGGGGGTGTGGCAAATTTTAAAACACTTCCACGCTAGCTGCTGGGAGGAAACTCTTGTGCATCCTCTGCCAAAGTAGGTAATCGAGGAGGAGAGCATACTCCTCCTATCGCTTACTAACAAATTGACACTCTCCTCGACCACTCATTGGTTTCCGTGTCACAGAGGATAGGAGGATGGAGGGGTCGAGGAGAGGACGGACTTTTCCACAATTGATAATCTCCCAATATCACACTCTCAGTAAAGTTGCATATAATATATTTATATTCATGTGACGAACGGGGCATTCATGTGCTCGTGGGAAGTGGGAAAGTGGGAAAGTGGGAAGTTATAAGTCCAACATGATTGTGTTCCAGTGCTTTTGAAGTCGGAACAATTATTAAACAAAAAAGATTTAGGTAGCTAGATAAGATAGCTAACGTTGCTAATAATAAAGTTAGCTAGCTTGCTTAACATTGACAATATGGTCAACTGGCTATATTCACATTATTTAAATAATTGTATTTATTTATTTATTTATTTTACCTTTATTTAACTAGGCAAGTCAGTTAAGAACAAATTCTTATTTACAATGACGTCCTACACCAGCCAAACCCAGACGACGCTGGGCCAATTGTGCACCGCCCTATGGGATAAGTTTGTAATTGTCAAATTGATTTGTTGTCATCTTTTGGTTGAAAAGGTCAAAGGTCAGTGGTGAAACGGTAACAACTCGGCAACTCGGTAACAAAAAATATGCAGGTTTCCCACTTGTACAGTGCATTCGGAAAGTATTCAGGCCCCTTGACTTTTTCCACATTTTGTTATGTTACAGCCTTATTATAAAATGTATAAAATAAAATAAATATCCCCCTCATCAATCTACACACAATACCCCATAATGACAAAGCAAAAACAGGTTTTTAGAAATATTACATTTACATAAGTATTCAGACCCTTTACTTAGTACTTTGTTGAAGCACCTTTGGCAGCGATTGCAGCCTTGAGTCTTCTTGTGTATGACGCTACAAGCTTGGCATACCTGTATTTGGGGATTTTCTCCCATTATTTTCTGAAGATCCTCTCAAGCTCTGTCAGGTTGGATGAGGTGAGTCGCTGCACAGCTATTTTCAGGTCTCTCCAGAGATGTTCGATTGGGTTCAAGTCCGGGCTCTGGCTGGGCCACTTAAGGACATTCAGAGACTTGTCCTGAAGCCACTCCTGTGTTGTCTTGGCTGTGTGCTTAGGGTCATTGTCCTGTTGGAAGGTGAACCTTCGCCCCAGTTTGAGGTCCTGAGCACTCTGAAGAAGGTTTTCATCAAGGATCTCTCTGCACTTTGCTCCGTTCATCTTTCCCTCGAACCTGACTTGTCTCCCAGTCCCTGCCACTGAAAAACATTCACACCGCATGATGCTGCCACCACCATGCTTTACCGTAGGGATGGTGCCAGGTTTCCTCCAGACATGACGCTTGGCATTCAGGCCAAAGAGTTCAATGTTGATTTCATCAGACCAGATAATCTAGCTTCTCATGGTCTGAGAGTCCTTTAGGTGTCTTTTGGCAAACTCCAAGCGGGCTGTCATGTACCTTTTACTGGATGGCTTCCGTCTGGCCACTCTACCATAAAAGCCTGATTGGTGGAGTGCTGCAGAGATGGTTGTCCTTCTGGAAGGTTCTCTCATCTCCACAGAGGAACTCTGGAGCTCTGTCAGAGTGACCATCAGGTTCTTGGTCACCTCCCTGACCAATGCCCTTCTCCCCCGATTGATCAGTTTGGCCGGGCGGCCAGCTCTAGGAAGAGTCTTGGTGGTTCCAAACTTCTTCCATTTAAGAATGATGGAGGCCACTGTGTTCTTGGGGACCTTCAATGCTGCAGAAATTATTTGGTACCCTTCTCCAGATCCGTGCCTCGACACAATCCTGTCTCGGAAAGGGACAAAGGGTCTGAATACTTATGTAAATAATCTGTTTCTGTTTTTAATTTTTTATACATTTGCAAAAAAAAAATCTAAAAACCTGTTTTTGCTTTGTCATTATGGGGTATTGTGTGTAGTTTGATGAGGAAAAACATTTATTAAATTAATTTTAGAATAAGGCTGTAACGTAACAAAATGTGGAAAAAGGGAAGGGGTCTGAATACATTCTGAATGCACTGTAATTACGACTTGGAGGGTCGTTCAAGAGAAACTTCCAAGTCGGAACTACGAACTTCTGATAACTCCTACAACACATAAGTGCCAAAAGCTCCTCTCAGAGTAGTGTGGTCCTGTACAGCTCAGTTGGTAGAGCATGGTGCTTGCAACACCAGGATTGTGGGTTTCATTTCCGGGGCCACCCATATGAAAAATGTATAATGCCATAACGAAATAATACAGAATCATAATGTGTACAAGCAAGTGATATGCTATCATTTGTCTGATTGTTGATAATATGATCTGTGTTTTCTGTTTTATTGGTTATGCCTAAGAATTCCTATTAGAGGCGCATGGAGCTTCCCAGCTCACTCATTACACTGACTTGAAGCTGAAACAAATTCTCTGTGTGATTCATTTCTATATTTCCCCCCTTTCAGGTCCGAATTCAATTTAAAATGTATTTGTTCATGTCAGAATGTTACAGAAGTTACTGTGTGTTGTTTAATCGAAAGTAAATGTGTTTGAGTGATGATATAAATATGCTATTTGAATGTCTAGCAATTAGACGTTAGCCGTCTTGCTCACTAGCTTTCAAGGAGGCTACTCACCAGCTCACGAGATGTTGGCGTGGTCAAAGCGTGCACAGTGCAGCTGTGAGTGAGAGAGAGACCACGTGCAGCTCCTGTGTGTGTGTGTGTGTGTGTGTGTGTGTGTGTGTGTGTGTGTGTGTGTGTGTGTGTGTCCGAGTGAATGAGCGAGATAACTTTTGGGAAATGTGAAGATGATTTATTTTGTTATTGCAATGTAGAGCAATAAGACACATGTATACATGCTCATACACGTTGCCTTTGTTTACTGAAGTGAGTTTATATAGGGATTACAGTTACGGTATGTACAGTTAATAGTGATAATAGGATAGTTAATAGTGATAATTCATTAAGGCATGTGTCATGCATTTAAAAATGTTAAAAGGGATGTCATTGCATTCCATATTGTCAATTTAAAAGTGGTGTTTCTCAGACCATGAGACATCCCAAAAATCGGTCTTCTCACTGAAAACGTCTGTAGTGTCCGAACGGTATGAGCTACAAACTATTATGACTCTGACGAACACGATGGTGGTCTCCGTTTTGCTCTACGACCCCCACAAGTGTTAGGGGACTCGTCTGAAGTAGGTACCATCGATGTGCCAACTTCTGTTTGCAGCTTCCGAACCGTTTTGGCTACAAACTAATCACTCTTTTTTTTCCATTTATGAACGTGTTATTCAATGCGTTTCTATGGGCTATAGCCAAATTATTTTTCTAAATCAAATAGGTAAATGATCCACTGTATGACCATCTTAAAACAAATCCATATGTCAGCTTAGAACGGAACTCATCATGAGAGGCTCGTGGTTCTGCGTACCCACATCCATACCCACAGTAAATCTATACCCACAGATGGCCCTAGCCTTTTTGGGGCCCTAAGCAACATTTTGTTGTGAGCAAAACATTTTAGCGGCCCCCCTCTTGACAGCGAAGAGAAACATTTATAGTTTTAGAGTTAATTTCTTGCAATTCTACACATTTTGCCATGGGGCGGAGAGAAAATGTTGCCATTTTAAGTAAGTTTGCTGCAATTCTACACATTTTGCTATGGGGCGGAGAGAACATTTTGCAATTTTATAACTCATTTCATGCAATTCTTCTCATTTTGCCAAGGGGTGGAGAGAAGAATTTGCAGTTTTACAGCTAATTTCCTGCAAGTCTACACATTTTGCCATAGGTTGGTAATTCGACCATGCTTACTACAAGTTTAGATAGCTGGCCGCTAGACTAATTTACCAATCTAAAACATTTTAGCTGACATGGGCGAATTGAGTGACTGTCAGTGACTGACATAATAGAAAAACTGCTGATGCACAACCACATTTTCAAATTGCACCTTGTGTATTCTATTGCTCTAACTCTCAACAGTTGAGACCCCGACTGAGTTCCTAATTTTTTTTTATTCGCGGGTCTACAAAAGGGGGGGCCGCCAGTTGCCCATCCCTGGGTAAAATGGTTGGATTGGGTAAAGGCTAATCTGATCCTGGATCTGTAATTAGGGGCAAGCACTAACTCGAGCGCCTCTCTTACCGTCTCCCCAGCTGATGATGTCATCGGGGTCAGAGGGCACCCCTGTCCAGAGGGAGGCCCTTTTGGGGTACCCCCCCTCCAGTTTCCTGTCCCGCCCCCCTTCGTCAAATCTCCAGAACTCCCCTCCGCTGAACACGTATGTTTTCCCGTTGTGTGCCCACACGAACACCGCCTCCACCCTCTCCAGTGCCCGACCGTCCATGGTACGCATGCCCCATTCCTCCAAAGAGCGTGGGTACCCAGGCAGAGAGGCCCTGTCTTTGAACACCCAGTACTGGGCTCCTGCACAGAGAGTACAGAGGACAGAGGACAACCAGAGAGAGAAGAATCAAATTGAAATATATCATTTATCAGACATAAACAAATAGAAGATGCTCATTTGGGCATTCATATACTACTCACACAAGCACATAACAGTAAACAATAAACAATTCAGAATATTATGTATTTACGATATATATCATAACATATAATATTATGCAGTATTATATATTTTGGAATATTTTTGCCTCTCTCACCGATGAAGAAGATGATGTGTCCGTCGCTCCTCTCATAGACTGTGTCGATCCGGTCCAGCCTTAGGGGGAGCCCAACCCAGAAGTTGTGGATCAGTGCTGGGATGAAAGACACCAGAGAACCCCACTGCTGAGCACGCCAGAAGAAAGCACCTGAGAGAGGGAGGGAGAGAGAAAATAAAGGGAGAGGCAGAGGTTGGGGGGAGAGAGAATGGGAAAGTGTGTGTTTTGGGTGTACGGTATACAGCATGTGTATGCACTATGCATACGTGCTTGTGTACAATGTACAGGTTACAGTTGACTTCTGCTAAATGCACTTCGGATAAGTGTTAAAGGAAAGGTTGCACGATATACAGTATATTCCACAAATCTAACAACGTAAATTGATTGTATTCCATCTAAACCGGTCTTTATGCAAAAAAAAAAGATATACACTTCTATTTTCACAATTTGATTTACATTTATCAAAAACTCCTATACCATTGGGCTTTGATGTCAAGAAAGAAACAGCTGGCTGGCGGCTTTGGTGATGGAGGCGAATTGGGTAAGTAGATACTAAAGTGCCCAAAGAGTTTTGTCATGTTATATTGCTAGTAGATGATAAACAACGAAGAAGTGCACCGGGCCATGCAAAACGAACTGGCCCACTCGGATCTAGCATGGTGTTTGGGGATGGAATAAGCTAGCTACCTAACAAGCAAGCTACAACAACTCCATCAACACTGCACGTTTTGCAGAAATAAATGGTGAAATATTAATGTCATTGTTTATTTCAAGGTATGTCTTTATTTTTGCTGAACTGTCTGATCTTTATTTGCCGATATAAGTTGCAGGATATCATGGTAGCCAATGTTTGTGTTAGCCATTATACCTGGATTTACTGTTACTGCTGCTAGTAACGTTAGTACTCAGGTTAGCATGTGGCTAGCTATAGCTACCATCGGCCAACAACAGTTTTAGCCAGTTTGGTTATAGACGTTCAATGTCTACTATGATGATATAGGTTCATCTTGATTTTGTGTAATAGTATGAGAAATGCTGATGTGCTGAGCTGCTAATAAGTGATGTGTTTCAAGGCTGCTAGTGGTTAGCTAGTAGGGGTAAGCCAGCAGTGGTGTAACGGGCGCTATGCTAAAAGCCTGCATGCTGTATAAGTGATGAAAACATTTTTAGCTGATACAGAATAAAGAAATCACAGGATATGGTCAGATGATAAGTTGGCTTTATTCAGAGTGCCAACTATTTAAAACACTAAACAATGATGTGGGTCTTTCCTGTCTTATGTGGACAGTGACTTCACTCCTGCGGTGTATTCACACGTGTGTTCTTCTCTTGACGTCACTTTTCTGAACGACATCACTTCGGTTAAATTCGGATAAAATAAAATGTTGCCCAAAATACAATTGTAAAGTGATATTTCGTATTGGGACTTTTAGTTGGAAGGATGAAACCAATCAGAATGTTTAACAGCAACCTAATTCTGCAATCTTCCCTTTATAGAGAGACTCTGGTACTTTGTATACTTTTTAGCCAAAAGTGGTCCCAGAAAATTGCATACTACAGTGAGATCCAAAAGTATTTGGACAGTGACACATTATGTGTTGTTTTGGCTCTGTACTTCAGCACTTTGGATACAAATGAATGGTAAATAATGTATTGTGTCATTTTGGAGTCACTTTCATTGTAAATAAGAATATAATATATTTCTACATTAATGTGGATGCTATGGATAATAATGATGAGTGAGAAAGTTACAGAGGCATAAGCATCATACACCCCCCCCCCCCCCCCCCCCCCCCCCCCCCCCCCCCCCCGTAATCATGCTAATGTAGAAGTATTTAGAAACATATTCTATTCTCATTTACAATAAAAGTGACTCCGAAATGACACAATACATTATTTACCCTTCATTTGTATCCAAAGTGCTGAAGTACAGAGCCAAAACAACACAAAATGTGTCACTGTCCAAATACTTTTGGATCTCACTGTAGTATGCAATTTTCGGGGACCACTTTTGGCTCATGAGAAAATTGCGCCACACAGACACTAACATTCTCAAGCCCATACATTTTTCTGGAGTTAACATGAAAAATGGTTGTTCTTCTTACCCTTGAAGAAGAAGACTTCTCCTCTGATGTTGGCAATGGCATCATATTTCCCCTCACAGCGATCTGGCAGAGCAGGGTCTGGGCTGTGTTTTGTAAGGGGCGGTAGAGAGAGGGTACTGTATCTTTATGATATTTTCATCATATTGTGATATAGTATCTTAACTATAACAATAGTAGTAGTGCAGTATTTTCCCAGTTATACACTTACTGTGGTGTTAGTCTTGGGGAAGGAGGACTGGGCAGGAAAGGTAGCTTGGGAGTGATGGGGGCCGGAGTGGGATGCGTTGCAGACTTTCTTCTCTTTCCTATGAAATACCATTTCAGTATTTTTTGAGCATTTGTGTTCCTATGTCTCTGTTTGTGTTGTGCATGCGTGCGTTTGTACTGCATATGGGTCTTTATGACAATTCCCTTTGTTGAGGACCCAAATAAAGACTTCAAATGACTACAGCTCAGCATTCAACACCTTAGTGCCCTCAAAGCTCATCACTAACCTAAGGATCCTGGGACTAAACACCTCCCTCTGCAACTGGATCCTGGACTTCCTGACGGGCCGCCCCCAGGTGGTAAGGGTAGGTAACAACACATCTGCCACACTGATCCTCAACACGGGGGCCCCTCCGGGGTGCGTGCTCAGTCCCCTCCTGTACTCCCTGTTCACCCATGACTGCATGGCCAGGCACGACTCCAACACCATCATTAAGTTTGCCGACGACACAACAGTGGTAGGCCTGATCACCGACAACGATGAGACAGCCTATAGGGAGGAGGTCAGAGACCTGGCCGTGTGGTGCCAGGATAACAACCTCTCCCTCAACGTGACCAAGACAAAGGAGATGATTGTGGACTACAGGAAAAAAAAGAGGACTGAGCACGCCCCCATTCTCATCGACGGGGCTGTAGTGGAACAGGTTGAGAGCTTCAAGTTCCTTGGTGTCCACATCACCAACGAACTATCATGGTCCAAACACACCAAGACAGTCGTGAAGAGGGCAAGACAAAGCCTATTCCCCCTCAGGAGACTGAAAAGATTTGGCATGGGTCCTCAGATCCTCAAAAAGTTCTACAGCTGCACCATCGAGAGCATCCTGACTGGTTGCATCACCGCCTGGTATGGCAACTGTTCGGCCTCCGACCGCAAGGCACTACAGAGGGTAGTGCATACGGCCCAGTACATCACTGGGGCCAAGCTTCCTGCCATCCAGGACCTCTATACCAGGCGGTGTCAGAGGAAGGCCCTCAAAATTGTCAAAGACTCCAGCCACCCTAGTCATAGACTGTTCTCTCTGCTACCGCACGGCAAGCGGTACCGGAGTGCCAAGTCTAGGTCCAAAAGACTTCTCAACAGCTTCTACCCACAAGCCATAAGACTCCTGAACAGCTAATCATGGCTACCCGGACTATTTGCACTGCCCCCCCACCCCCACCCCCCACCCCATCTTTTTACGCTGCTGCTACTCTTAATTATTTATGCATAGTCACTTTAACTCTACCCACATGTACATACAGTGGGGGAAAAAAGTATTTAGTCAGCCACCAATTGTGCAAGTTCTCCCACTTAAAAAGATGAGAGAGGCCTGTAATTTTCATCATAGGTACACGTCAACTATGACAGACAAATTGAGAGAAAAAAAATCCAGAAAATCACATTGTAGGATTTTTAATGAATTTATTTGCAAATTATGGTGGAAAATAAGTATTTGGTCAATAACAAAAGTTTCTCAATACTTTGTTATATACCCTTTGTTGGCAATGACACAGGTCAAACGTTTTCTGTAAGTCTTCACAAGGTTTTCACACACTGTTGCTGGTATTTTGGCCCATTCCTCCATGCAGATCTCCTCTAGAGCAGTGATGTTTTGGGGCTGTCGCTGGGCAACACGGACTTTCAACTCCCTCCAAAGATTTTCTATGGGGTTGAGACCTGGAGACTGGCTAGGCCACTCCAGGACCTTGAAATGCTTCTTACGAAGCCACTCCTTCGTTGCCCGGGCGGTGTGTTTGGGATCATTGTCATGCTGAAAGACCCAGCCACGTTTCATCTTCAATGCCCTTGCTGATGGAAGGAGGTTTTCACTCAAAATCTCACGATACATGGCCCCATTCATTCTTTCCTTTACACGGATCAGTCGTCCTGGTCCCTTTGCAGAAAAACAGCCCCAAAGCATGATGTTTCCACCCCCATGCTTCACAGTAGGTATGGTGTTCTTTGGATGCAACTCAGCATTCTTTGTCCTCCAAACACGACGAGTTGAGTTTTTACCAAAAAGTTATATTTTGGTTTCATCTGACCATATGACATTTTCCCAATCCTCTTCTGGATCATCCAAATGCACTCTAGCAAACTTCAGACGGGCCTGGACATGTACTGGCTTAAGCAGGGGGGACACGTCTAGCACTGCAGGATTTGAGTCCCTGGCGGCGTAGTGTGTTACTGATGGTAGGCTTTGTTACTTTGGTCACAGCTCTCTGCAGGTCATTCACTAGGTCCCCCCGTGTGGTTCTGGGATTTTTGCTCACCGTTCTTGTGATCATTTTGACCCCACGGGGTGAGATCTTGCGTGGAGCCCCAGATCGAGGGAGATTATCAGTGGTCTTGTATATCTTCCATTTCCTAATAATTGCTCCCACAGTTGATTTCTTCAAACCAAGCTGCTTACCTATTGCAGATTCAGTCTTCCCTGCCTGGTGCAGATCTACAATTTTGTTTCTGGTGTCCTTTGACAGCTCTTTGCTCTTGGCCATAGTGGAGTTTGGAGTGTGACTGTTTGAGGTTGTGGACAGGTGTCTTTTATACTGATAACAAGTTCAAACAGGTGCCATTAATACAGGTAACGAGTGGAGGACAGAGGAGTCTCTTAAAGAAGAAGTTACAGGTCTGTGAGAGCCAGAAATCTTGCTTGTTTGTAGGTGACCAAATACTTATTTTCCACCATAATTTGCAAATAAATGCATTAAAAATCCTACAATGTGATTTTCTGGAGAAAAAAAATCTCAATTTGTCTGTCATAGTTGACGTGTACCTATGATGAAAATTACAGGCCTCTCTCATCTTTTTAAGTGGGAGAACTTGCACAATTGGTGGCTGACTAAATACTTTTTTCCCCCACTGTATTACTTCAACTACCTCAACTAGCCGGTGCCCCCGCACATTGACTCTGCACCGGTACCCCCCTGTATATATAGCCTCCCTACTGTTATTTAATTTTACTTCTGCTCTTTTTTTCTCAACACTTTTTTTTTGTCACTTTTTTATTAAAAATAAATGCACTGTTGGTTAAGGGCTGTAAGTAAGCATTTCACTGTAATGTCTGCACCTGTTGTATTCGGCGCATGTGGCCAATAAAATGTGATTTGATTTGATTTGAAATGTGTGTGTGTGCACTGTGTGTGAGTGTGATGGTGTGTACCGTATATAGCCTGTATTCCCAGCCTGTCATCGGTAGGTAGTGTATAGCTCTGGATGTCCCCCACAGTCCCCTGGTAGTATGGCCTCATGATGGAGGGATTGGAAGAGGAATGTGAGAGGCCCAGGGCGTGGCCAAACTCATGCACCGCCACCGTGAAGAGATCAGTGGTGCCAATGTCATCTGAGAAAGAGATGGAGAGGAGAGAAAAAGAGAGATGTTGTATTTGTCACATGCTTCGTAAACAACAGGTGTAGACTAACAGTGAAACGCTTACTCACGGGCCCTTCCTAACAATGCAAAGAGAAAAAAATTGATAATAACACAAGGAATAAATACACAATGAGTAATGATAACTTTCTATATACATGGGGTACCAGTACCGAGTCGATGTGCAGGGGTACGAGGTAGTTGAGATAGACATGTACATATACTGTAGGTATAGGCAATTTGGCGATAGAGGGAGAGAATGACAGAAATGGAGGGAGGGAAAAAAAGGGAGAGACAAGGAAAGAGGGAAAGAGAAAGCAATTCAAATCTCATTATGTTATTCACAGAAGTACACACTGTGTATGTGTGTTACGCCGTAAGCCTCTCTCTCACCTCCATACCCGTAACTCCAGCTCTCCCCGTTGTCAAAGTGGGTGTCCCCCGCCATGTCCGCCGTCCCGGGGAAGAAGGCGTGAGCCAGGGTGCCCCCTTTGCCATCAAAGGGGTACCCGTCCTCGTGGTAGGAGCTGGGGAAGGACACCCTGAAGTCCCCCTCTTGGTTGGGGTGGTCCCGGGAGGGGCGAAGAAGGTGGAAGTTGAGGGGGGTGGGGTTGCTCCACACACGGAGGGCGTAGGTGAGGATGAGGTCCACCAGTTCGGGGCGGAGGGAGGGGGAAAGGGAGGGGGAGGGGTAGCTGTGCACACTGGAGTGGGGAGGATGAAGCAGGGCATGAGAGGAGATTAGGGTTGCAAAGGGAGGGTATATTACTGGAAACTTTCAAAGTTTACCAGTAAACTACCAGAATCATGGTATCTTTCAAGGATTTTATGCCTATCACAAGACATCTAGTGGCCCTTTTGGGTACTTCAGATTTGTACGGTTGTCTGTAACTATCTCTGGCCCTCTGTGTGACTGTCACGCTCGTTTACTGATGAGACGGACCAAGGCGCAGCGTGATAAGCGTACATTTTATTAAGTACTTAACTCACACAAAACAACAAACAAACGAACGAAACGTGAAGTCCTAGGTTACACAAAACAAACCTTAACGGAACAAGATCCCACATCGACTAGTGCCAAACAGGCTGCCTAAGTATGGTCCCCAATCAGAGACAACGAGATACAGCTGCCTCTGATTGGGAACCACCCTGGCCAACATAGATCTAAACGATCTAGCACATTAACATAGAAAATATGACACACCCTGGCTCAACATTTCAGAGTCCCCAGAGCCAGGGCGTGACAGTGACCTTAGCACCTGTAAACCTGTGACCTGTAAAATGTATAAAATAATAGTATGACAAAGCTGTAAAACATTATCCTGAATATAAACCATCAACTTAATTAATAATATGAGGGTTTTAGCATGAAATATCCTTTATAATTTTTTTCATATTGTCAGTATGTATTTGTTGTCAATCTTTTGGCATCAAACTGACGGCAGTTGTGAAATACATCAATAGTTGGAAGAGTTGCAGAGTTAATTGAAAATAAAACCATTGTTGATTAAATGCTTTTTTCATTAATTAGGCTATTTTCTCTTTAACCATATGGTCTATCTACTATAGATATGGAAACAGTATGGAAACAGATACAAAAAAAATGTATACTATACACTACTGGTCAAAAGTTTTAGAACACCTACTCATTCAAGGGTTTTTCTTAATTTTTACTATTTTCTACATTGTAGAATAATAGTGAAGACATCAAAACTATGAAATAACACATATGGAATCATGTTTTAACCAAAATAGTGTTAAACAAATGAAAATATATTTTATATTTGAGATTCTTCAAATAGCCACCCTTTGCTTTGATGACAGCTTTGCGCATACACAAGCAGCTCGTGAGTTTCATGTTTGGGGAAGATCATTTTCACCATAAAAATGCACCTTTATAATTAAAGCATGACATGCATAATTGCATTTGCGGTCACTTTTGATAATGGTGTTTTCCTCTAATGGAACATTCGCGCTTATAGCTTACTACCTTTTGGAATATTTATTTCTCGCACAGAATAGAATAGGTCGATCTTTGTACTATGGGGGATAGTAGATTGACATAGGCTAGTGTTTTTCTCTTCGTTAGGCCTACTCATCTGGTTGGCTGACGAAAAGTAAATGTGGACAGCTCTTCCAATATCTTCAATATGCACCTTGGAATTCAAATCAAATCACATTTTATTTGCCACATGCGTGGAATACAACAGGTGTAGACCTTACAGTGAAATGCTTACTTACAAGCCCTTAACCAACAATGCAGTTTTAAGAAAAAGAAAAAAAGTGTTAAGTTAAAAATAGATAAGTAAAAAAATATATAAAAAATATTAAAGAGCAGCAGTAAAATAAAATAACAGTAGGGAGGCTAGGGGGGTACTGGTACAGAGTCAATGTGAGGGGGCACCGGTTAGTTGAGGTAATTGAGGTAATATGTACATGTGGGTAGTGTTAAAGTGACTATGCATTAATAATAAACAGATTAGCAGCAGCGTAAAAGAGGGGGTGGGGTGGGGTGGGTGGGGGGGGGGGGGGACAATGGGGGACAGCTGTAGTACTTTTTGAGGATCTGAGGACCCATGCCAAATCTTTTCAGTCTCCTGAGGGGGAATAGGCTTTGTCATGCCCTCTACACGACTGTCTTAGTGTGTTTGGACCATGATAGTTTGTTGGTGATGTGGACTCCAAGGAACTTGAAGCTCTCAACCTGTTCCACTACAGCCCCGTCGATGAGAATGGGGGCGTGCTCAGTCCCCTTTTTTTCCCTGTAGTCCACAATCATCTACTTTGTCTTGATCACGTTGAGGGAGAGGTTGTATTCCTGGCACCATACGGCCAGGTCTCTGACCTCCTCCATATAGGCTGTCTCATCATTGTCGGTGATCAGGCTTACCACTGTTGTGTCGTCTTCAAACTTAATGATGGTGTTGGAGTCGTGCCTGGCCATGCAGTCATGGGTGAACAGGGAGTACAGGAGGGGACTGAGCACGCACCCCTGAGGGGCCCCCGTGTTGAGGATCAGCGTGGCAGACGTGTTGTTACCTACCCTTACCACCAGGGGGCGGCCCTTCAGGAAGTCCAGGATCCAGTTGCAGAGGGAGGTGTTGAGTCCCAGGGTCCTTAGCATAGTGATGAGCTTTGAGGGCACTATGGTGTTGGAACGCTGAGCTGTAGTCAATTAATAGCATTCTCAAGTAGGTGTTCCTTTTGTCCAAGTGGGAAAGGGCAGTGTGGAGTGCAATAGAGATTGCATCATCTGTGGATCTGTTGGGGCGGTATGCAAATTGGAGTGGGTGCAGGGTTTCTGTGATTATGGTGTTGATGTGAGCCATGACCAGCCTTTCAAAGCACTTCATGGCTACAGACTTGAGTGCTACGGGTCGGTAGTCATTTAGGCAGGTTATCTTACTGTTCTTGGGCACAGGGACTATGGTGGTCTGCTTGAAACATGTTGGTATTACAAACTCAGTCAGGGACATGTTGAAAATGTCAGTGAAGACACTTACCAGTTGGTCAGCGCATGCTCGGAGTACACGTCCTGGTAATCCGTCTGGCCCTGCGGCCTTGTGAATGTTGACCTGCTTAAAAGTCTTACTCACATCGGCTATGGAGAGCGTGATTACATATTCATCCGGAACAGTTGATGCTCTCATGCATGCTTCAGTTTTGCTTGTCTCGAAGCGAGCATAGAAGTGATTTAGCTCGTCTGGTAGGCTCGTGTCACTGGGCAGCTCGCGGCTGTGCTTCCCTTTGTAGTCTATAATCGTTTGCAAGCCCTGTAACATCCGACGAGTGTCGGAGCCGGTGTAGTATGATTCAATCTTAGTCCTGTATTGACTCTTTGCCTGTTTGATGGTTCGTCAGAGGGCATAGCGGGATTTCTTATAAGCGTCCAGGTTAGAGTCCCGCTCCTTGAAAGCGGCAGCTCTACCCTTTAGCTCAGTGCGGATGTTGCCTGTAATCCATGGCTTCTTGTTGGGGTATGTACGTACAGTCACTGTGGGGACGACGTCATCGATGCACTTATTGATGAAGCAAGTGACTGATGTGGTGTACTCCTCAATGCCATCGGAAGAATCCTGGAACATATTCCAGTCTGTGCTAGCAAAACAGACCTGTAGCTTAGCGTCTGCGTCATCTGACCACTTTTTTATTAACCGAGTCACTGGTGCTTCCTGCTTTAGTTTTTGCTCATAAGCATGAATCATGAGGATAGAACTATGGTCAGATTTGCCAAATGGAGGGCGAGGGAGTGCTTTGTATGCGTCTCTGTGTGTGGAGTAAAGGTGGTCTAGAGTTTTTTTTCCTCTGGTTGCACATTTAACACGCTGGTAGAAATGAGGTATAACGGATTTAAGTTTCCCTGCATTAAAGTCCCCGGCCACTTGGAGCGCTGCCTCTGGATGAACGTTTTCCTGTTTGCTTATGGCCTTATACAGCTCATTGAGTGCAATCTTAGTGCCAGCATCGGTTTGTGGTGGTAAATAGACAGCTATGAAAAATATAGAAGAAAACTCTCTTGGTAAATAGTGTGGTCTACAGCTTATCATAAGATACTCTACCTCAGGCGAGCAAAACCTCGAGACTTCTTTAGTATTAGATTTTATGCACTGCTGTTGTTTACAAATATACACAGACCGCCACCCCTTGTCGTACCGGAGCCAGCCGTTCTATCCTGCCGATGTAGTGTATAGCCCGCCAGCTGTATGTTATACATGTCGTCGTTCAACGACGACTCGATGAAACAGACGATATTACAGTTTTTAATGTCCCGTTGGTAGGATATCCTTGATCGTATGTTGGCTAATAGGATTGATGGAAGAGGCAGATTACTCGCTCGCAGTCGGATCCTTAAAAGGCACCCCGACCTACAGTTGAAGTCGGAAGTTTACATACACCTTAGCCAAATACATTTAAACTCTGTTTTTCACAATTCCTGACATTTAATCCTAGTAAAAATTCCCTGTCTTAGGTCACTCAGGTTCAACACTTTATTTTAAGAATGTGAAATGTCAGAATAATAGTAGAGAATTATTTATTTCAGCTTTTATTTATTTGATCACATTTCCAGTGGGTCAGAAGTTTACATACACTCAATTAGTATTAGGTAGCATTGCCTTTAAATTGTTTAACTTCGGTCAAACATTTCGGGTAGCCGTCCACAAGCTTCCCACGATAAGTTGGGTGAATTTTGGCCCATTCCTCCTGACATAGCTGGTGTAACTGAGTCAGGTTTGTAGGCCTCTTTGCTCGCACACGCCTTTTCAGTTCTGCCCACACATTTTCTATAGGATTGAGGTCAGGGCTTTGAGATGGCCACTCCAATACCTTGACTTTGTTGTCCTTAAGCCATTTTGCCACAACTTTGGAAGTATGCTTGGGGTTATTGTCCATTTGGAAGACCCATTTGCGACCAAGCTTTAACTTCCTTACTGATGTCTTGAGATGTTGCTTCAATATACAGTGGGGAAAAAAAGTATTTAGTCAGCCACCAATTGTGCAAGTTCTCCCACTTAAAAAGATGAGAGAGGCCTGTCATTTTCATCATAGGTACACGTCAACTATGACAGACAAATTGAGGAAAAAAAATCCAGAAAATCACATTGTAGGATTTTTAATGAATTTATTTGCAAATTATGGTGGAAAATAAGTATTTGGTCACCTACAAACAAGCAAGATTTCTGGCTCTCACAGACCTGTAACTTCTTCTTT